ATACTTTTTCAATACAAAAGTTTGTACATTTTCAATCTTGTGCAGGCTTGTCTTATATATATATACACACTCACCCCGTGACAAACAAACTTCTTGTGTTATTAAAAATAGACCACCATTTAACAAATTAAAAAGGTTAAATGCTAGATTTAGTGCATAATTTTTAATTTTAAATAATTTTAATTTTTAATTATTATATATATATTTTTTGGTTTTTCTATCAGTTTTGTCCATTAAATCTATATAGTCGAATTTTTTTTGTCCCTAAACTTTTATTCTATGTACATTAGGTGATTAAACGAAATTTAAAAAATACTAGTTGGGTAGCCTTAACAAATAATTTTTTTTCTTATTTTGGTTGCACAATGAGAGGTAATTATCTCCAATCCCTTATCTCACTCTACCCGCATGCCATGCGACTCGAATTCAAGACCTCTTATTTCCAGCAAAATGAGATAATTACTGAATTACTTAAGTTATTGGCAATAAAATTGATAAAATGACAAAAAGAAAGAAATATTTCTCTTAGTTGAAGGATGTAAAAAGTGCAAAAAGTAATTTGAAGACTATAATTGTTTAAAATTGAAAGTTCAAAGACTAAATTTGAAATTGGATCAATAAAAATAACATAATTCCTATAAAAAGGAAAAGGGCAAAAATTAGTACACATTTCATTTTAATATATTGCATAACACACTCATTAAAAATCATTATTTTTTTATATGAAATTAAAGGCATACAAATTTAAAATGCAGTTACACATATAAAATATAGAAATCAGTTGAATTAGTTAATATTTTAATAATTGAATAAGGATGAATGTCAAAAAATATATTGAACTAAATGTGTATTGATCATTTTTCAAAGAAAAAACAATAAAAATATTACAAATAATGATCAAAGAAAATATAAAAAAGAATAAGATGTGCATAGAATTTTTTAAAAATTTCATATTAAAAAATTTTATAGGAAATATGAAAAACAACAAGATATTAATTATTACTAAATTTGTTATAAAAATAGTAAATATTTATCTCGACTCCAAGGAGTTTTAATTAAAAAATATCATCTTTCAATGAATGTTTTGAAAAAATAACCATTAGATCAAATGATCTATTTATATAGATTATATATGATCAAAAACTATATTTTCTAACATATATAATAAATGAACTAATTTGATATATTCAGTTTTATATTATTAAAGAATTAGTTAAATATATTTAATTAATTTAAAAATTAACATATATAATTTATATAAATTAAACATTTCATACAATAATTAATTTTTTGAAATATTTATTAAAAAAATATAGATTTTGAATTGCGACTCCATAAAATCAAGACTGAATGCATTATACTCGCACGTTATTATTAGTTTTTTTATGTCAAACAATAACGATAATTAACAATTGCAAAATTAGAACGAATGAGACCAATTGTATCGTTGGTTGCAAAATTTTTAAAATAGTTAGATATGCTTGTTTGAAATAGACTTGCATGCTACATGTCGGACAGGGGAATCTACCATTTCTTGGGAAACAAAGCTTTTCACAAAGAAATTAGTGGGAAACCAGTGGAATGTTATGGTTGGAGGAAAATATGGAACCGATTCATACGTTCCAAAAGAAGGTACCTGGCATTTGCATATATTTTCAAAATGGCATTGTCCTGTCAACGACTGAGGCCAAAGGGACAGAAGATGCTTCGGCTGGATTTCTGTTCCTTCTGTTGCATCGACCGCTGAAATTGGCCTTCGGTACGTAGTCAAGGCGTGAGACAAAAGGGTCATGATGAAGATGCCCATTTTTTTTTATCCTTCGTCATGATGAGATGCTTGGGCCGGGACTACTGAGCTCCTTTTTCGTTGCGTAGAGCACTGAAATGGTCAATTGGGCATCAATGCTGATGTATGAATAACTTGAGATTTACTTCTATGTTCGTTTTCACGACAGCTCAGGGTTTACCTGTAAATTAGATCTAAAATTAAAAAATATTGCAAACACTCCAAAGTTCAAGTTGACATAATTCTAGAAAGTTTTCCGTAGAGGAAATTCTAGATAAGACTCAATGTTTACTAAATGAGTGTTTAAGTGTCTTTACTCTTCGTAAGTCAAGCGTTTATACTTTCTTTGTTTCAATTTACTTTTCACGGCCTCTAAAATTGAGTGTTCTAATTTATTTGTCAATTACATTTTAAATAAGTGTTTGTTGAATATATATTTTAAAACTTACATGTTAAGGTAAATTAAATATAT